ATGTAGATGTACACTACCTGATGCTCCTGGCACAGCCACATGGGTGGTGGGAAGAAGCAGAGCATACTCCCTCCCTGCAGCGCTTTCCCCATATGTGGAATGGGGTGGAAAGACCTGAAGTAGAAAGGAAATCCTCCAAGGCTATAAAAAGAATCAATAATAAGGGAAGAAAAGAGGCATGATGAGGGAGGGAGTGGAGAAGCACAACATAAAGGGGACACAGGACTAGTACATCCACTCTCTTTAAAAAAAGGCAACTAATACTTTTCCTGATGAAGCCAGGCACTTCCTATGTACTGTAAAAAATTATATTTGCATATAACGAAACACATTCAATATAATCCCATCAATGAACTAACATTTGGGGTAATTATTAATAAACTGTCCAGGAAAACCGTTGCTATATACACACACAACTTTGAAAATCTAGACATGTTTGCAAAGAAGTAACCGATGAGCATCCTTGCTACTGGATAGAAGGAGCAGGAAATGTTTCAAAATCAATAGGTCATACAGGACAGAAACAATGTTAGTCTTGAAACCATAATTACCTGTTCAATTTGAAGAAGCACCCAGTATTTTTAGTATGCAGTCAGCACAATCAGCAAGTTGTTACCTTCCCAAGAGAAGCCCCTGTATTTAATACGTCAACTGGTAATGAAAGCAAGGTGCTTAGACCTCCTTTTAAAGTCAACTTAGTTCCTTTTTTGTCCTACTTTTCCCTGGTCTGAAAAGCACATGGCTAGAAAGGAGGTTAATATCACAACAAATAAAGTTATCTTTCTAAACTATTCTGAAGTACTGCAAAATCAAAGATCTATAAAGATCCTTGATAAGCCACAGGTGGTTTTGTCCCAAAAGTCAAAGATGATGATACATTTTAGGAGAATACTGCATAAAAGAGCACTCCTGTTGCTCATGAACAGCTCAGTACTGTTGCAAGAACACAACAGATGCTCTTCATTTGGCTCCTCTCTTTGCTCTCACATTATTTTTATGTAGTAGAAACGTCTAAATATTTACGAGCATGGGCTAACATTTATAGAGCACAACACATAAGTTGTTAAACTCAAAATTATGATAGAAAATTTTAAAGGTAGGATATAGAGAATTACTATCTCACTGAATCCCCAAGAAAGGAGGAATTACTGCCTGCTAAATACTTCTATCATGTTCACCAGTGGATTCTAGAGGGAAATAAAAAAAGGGAAAAAGAGTTGCTTTTACCCTTTATTCTCTACTATTTAAGACAAAGGATCTTTAAAAAACAAGTTATAAAGCATTTAAAATAGGATCAGAAAGGCATAGGAGAAGGTAAAGGGAAGAGGACAGTGGTCTCCTGTTCACCAGTCCACCTTGAAACACGTCACAGTGATCAAGAGCTTTAAACTGAGAGAGGGAAGGTTTAGGTTAGATATTAGGAAAAATTCCTTCCTATGAGGGTGGTCAGGCGCTGGCACAGGTTGCCCAGAGAAGCTGTAGCTGCCCCATCCCTGGGGCAGTGCTCAAGGGCAGGCTGGATGGGGCTTGGAGCAACCTGGTCTAGTGGAAGGTGTCTCTGCCCATGCCAGGGGGTCGGAACTGGATAAGCGTTAAGGTCCCTTCCAACACAAACCAGTCTGTGATTCTACGATCAACAACCTCTCCACTCCCATTCCCTACAGCTCCATTTTCCACAAGGCATGGTGATCACTTAGCTAGGCAGCAAATTCACAGCCACCTCCTTCACACAGGTCTTTTTACATATGCTGACCAGTCTCAGGTCAAGGTGGGGACCCTGCACACCTCTTTAATACAACCATTTTTGATTCCTTCTTCTCCCCTTTCCCATACTTACTTTTGTTTGAAATGACACAGGTATAGCTGTTCTCTCCATGTTGATGTGATCTATCACCTCTTCCCCACCAGCTTGCCTCCCAACTCCCACTTTTCTTCCACACTCTGCAGCATTCGTATTGCTTCTTGAAGGCTTCATCCTCCACACTGATTACTCATCCTCCAGCTTCTCATCTGTATGTTCACTGGCATCTAATCTTAATTCGATCTGCAAGTCCTGCTTCAAATTTGTGAACTCATTAACACAGCTGTCAGTTGGTCTTCACCCCCCTTGTAGTCTTGAATTCCCCCTTTTAAACTATCACCTGGTTTTCTTAATCCCCTGCTTAGCATTTCTCTTTCCTGGCCCTTCAACCTGCCTTTTTGCCAGTTGCAGCAAAAAATTCTGATCTTACCTTATCCCTTCCTTTTCTAAATTTAAAAATTTCCTAATTCTCTTTGGGCCTCATACTCATCTGCTTTCACTTTTCCCATCCTATCATGTCCCAGAGCTGGCCTGCCATCAGCACTGGTTTTCCAAGCTCCAAAGCCAAGAGATCGTTCTGTTGGAAACAGTCTAAACCAGCTGACATTCTCCGATTTGTTTCCTCCTCCTCCTGCTTTTCTATGTTCAACTATTTTCCTAGCTTTCTTTTAATCCCCCTCTTTCACAGTTCCAGCCTTATCACCAATTCTTGTCTCCTCTTTCTGGAAACTTCACCTTCTGCCTCTTCTATTTCTGCAAAAATTGTCATAAATATATGGACAAAATACAGAATGGCATCATCCTTCCCCTAACAAGCAGGGGAGCCTGGCAGCCTACAGAAACTGGAGGCAGTTCAGCATCACTTGAAGTTACACCTTTAAACAGACTCCCCACATCTCCTTCAATGAAAGAGGAGGAACTCCAAATCAGACAGTGGAAAAGCCTTAGCCATTTATCATGGGTAAGCAGCAAAGAATAATAATCACTAAATACTTCCTATATATGCTTGTAATTCTGCCTTAAAGAATTCCTCTCTCTTCAGTTTTACATCTTCTAAATACCTTAGATTACTCCATCTTCTCTGCTGGGTCTTATCCAAGGTTAACTCTTCAAGTCTTTTTGTCAGTATTATACTATTCTTCTATCACAAATTCTCTCCAGCCTAATATTACTTCACTAAGTAGTACAATTACACATAAATACCACAGAACTTCATGAGATATACAACAAAGAATCCTAGAATGGCTAGGGTTGGAAGGGAACTTAAAGCTCATCCAGTTCCAACCATTTATCATAAGCAGGGACACCTTCCACTAGACCAGGTTGCTCAAAGCCCCATCCAGCCTGGCTTTGAACAATGCCAAGGATGGGGCAGCCACAGCTTCTCCGGGCAACCTGTGCCAGGGCCTCACCACCCTCACAGGGAAGAACTCCTGCCTAAGATCTCATCTAAATCTGCCCTTTGTCAGTTTGAAGCCATTCCTTGCTGTTCTCTCTCTATAGGCCCTTATCCAAAGCCCCTCTCCAGCTTTCTTTTCAACCCCTTTAGGCACTGGAAACTGCCCTAAGGTCTCCCTGGAGACCTCTCTCCCTCTTCTCCAGGCTGAACAAGCCCAGCTCTCTCAGCCTGTCTCCATAGCAGAGGTACTCGAGCCCTCAGAGCATCTTTGTGGCCTCCTCTGAACTCAGTCTAACAGGTCCATGTATATATATGTATGAGATATATATCTAAGATACAGGAAGGGACTCCCAAATTTTCCCATACCCTGCATCACAAGCAATTCTCTGGAAACACTGCTAATGAGATGCCCACCCTCTACCTCCTCCAGCACTGTAAGAAATTAATTCAAGAGAAGAAAAGGCTGCGTGAAGACCTCATAGCAGCCTTCCAGTATCTGAAGGGGGCCTATAGGTATGCTGGGGATGGACTATTCATTAGGGACTGTAGTGACAGGACAAGGGGTAATGGGTTAAAACTTAAACAGGGGAAGTTTAGATTGGATATAAGGAGGAAATTCTTTACTGAGAGGGTGGTGAGGCACTGGAAGGGGCTGTCCAGGGAGGTTGTGAATGCTCCATCCCTGGCAGTGTTTAAGGCCAGGTTGGAGGAAGCCTTGGGTGAGATGGTTTAGTGTGAGGTGTCCCTGCCCATGGCAGGGGGGTTGGAACTTGATGATCTTAAGGTCCTTTCCAACCCTAACTATTCTATGATTCTAACATCTAGGGCAGGAATTTTGAGTTAATTTTGAGCTCTCTCACTGAATTCTCCTCTAGTTTTATGCATACCCCTTTGCCCCAGCCTCTCACTTTTTCACATGAACATAAGATTTGCTGAGTACTGTGATAATACATTTATGAAGAGCTCAAGGAATTCTGCACAGAAGCCCTTAGAAAAAGTACCTCCTGAGGTTTCAGAATTGCCTTCATGTACTGTACAACTGCATTTTCGATTAGCTCTTTCTAGACATGTGTGTTTGCAGCATACCAAGATAAACCACTGCTTTCTGCCTGTCCTTCTGATGAATATATTCCATTGCACCAATAGCTTTTTAGTGCCTGGAAGCACCTAGTCTGACTTGCATGGAAATATACCTGTGACTGGAGTTTTTACACTATTTGGAAAAAAACCAACCAATTTGACTTAAAACACAATAGAAATTATGTGAAAATCCACCAGGCTACCAGATGAAGTGGTAAATTCCCCGCACTATTTACATTTACTCTTTATTCTTCATTTCAGTTTCTATGCAAATACTTCTAGATTTTCTTCTGCATCATTGATAGATATTGACTAGCACTGAGACAAGAACAGAGATGCTATATAATACACCTATGCACTCTATTATGCAATTAAGTACCTTTGAGATAGTATGCTTTTAACTTTGAATCATGCAGTATTCTAAATCCAAGGGAAGAAAACCACCTTGGAAGAACTAAGAGCCCTAGTTAATATCGGAAGTGCTATATTCCACAGAGACCCGAGTGACTCAGTCTTTCATGAGGCAAGGATATAATTTTCTGGATGAAGTAGTTCAACAAATCTTTCTCACCCTCCACCTTCAAAAATGAATTTTAAATTATTTGTCCTTAAGAAACAATTCTGGCCTGGGTTATAACTAATAGTTAAGAAAGAGAAGCAGCATTAGATGAAAAAGCTGGAACACACTAGAAACTCCCCATTATTTTAAGCTGTACTCACAACAAACTGGTCCATGTCCCTTTCAAGCCCCATGTTTGGTAGATCAGGCATCATATGCGCCACCACTTTGAACCCGGCATCCTTGGCTAAGTGAAAAGACTCACACACGGCCTTCACGGTGTGACCTCTGGGGAGAGAGAAAAGAGATTCAAGATCACACAGAAAATGACATATTGTGTTATGTTCAGTTGAGATTATTCTCTAGGAAGTGGGAAGGACTGAGTTTGGAACATGGGTGCTAACAAAGTAAGCTACACTTTGGGCTAAAAGAGCTCTAGTTTGCTATTTTTGTAGCAGGTGAACCACATCAAGGCTAAAGCTATTCAAATCACACTGAGAAACTTTGGAAAGCTGCTGAAATTCAGTTTGTAAAGCAATGACACAAGCTGATGTCACAGCACAAGCTAGGACACACTGCACTGAAGACTGTGCATAATCCAAATCATAGAATGGGTTGGGCTGGGTTGGAAAGGACCTTAAAGATCATCTGGTTTCAATCCTCCTGCCATGGACAGGGACAGCTTCCACTACACCAGATTGCTCAAAGCCCCATCCAACCTGGCCAAAATGAAGCATAACCAGAAATAGAAGCAACAGAAGAGGAAAAGGATGGGGACTAAGTAAAACCAGCTAGCTAGAGAATCATCTGGCAACATGCTTGCCAGAGTCTCAAATCCTACTTTTAGAGAAACACACACTCTTCTCAACTTCTTAAAAGTGCCAAATCGCTGAAACACAGACTGGATTAGGACTGAAGGATTTCACATTGTTCTCCACTGACATCAAATCAAGCTAACTCAGGTCTAGAGCAAGAAGCAGGAGCTTGGAGAGTCTGGGAGCCCAAATGATGGCAGGAACAAAGGCTGAACCTCACAGAACTTGTTAGCCTCAAGCAAGTTCCTCTATCCTTCCACCCCCCTGGCAATCACTTTCACTACAAATAGCGATGAGTAGGTCCTCACCACATGTGGCCAGTCTTCCTTCCATAACCTCAGTTTTGCTCTTCCCCAGCTGGGAGGGCTCATCCACTACAGGCTGACATTTCTGGACATTTCTATCCCCTCAGCATCTGCTACCTTCTCTCTCCTATCCCCAATTTCTTCCCATCACACTTTCATACCAGTTCACCCCATCTTTTGGAATTCCTTGCCAACAGATTAGCTCAGCAGGTGACTCTTCTTCTCCTTCATAGCTCGTTGGATGAAAAATTAATGCCATTTGAGCATCTGCACAAAGGTACACCTGAGACCTGATGTGAACCCAACCAAACAGCAAGTTCCCTTGTTTTAAGGACCTCTGCCTTCCTCTCTATTGGCAGATTCTGCCTCCATTAAATCCCTATATACAGTTTTATGACTACAGTTTTGGGTTTTTTCCTCAGAAGTATTACGGTGTTTTTCTGACACTGTTCAAGGACAGTATTACTCAAGACCTTGAGTAGCCTGAGGGGAGTAAATGGAGACTTGCTTCATAAATAAAAATTATTTTCTTATTAGAAGTGGAATTTGAGCTGCATCAATAACTTGATTATTTGATGCCTAAATCTGTTCTTGAATATTTTACTGCCTCACAGCCACCAAAAGCACTCAAAAACCTCACTAATGACTTATGGAACATAATAGAAAGTAATTTCCAAACAGTTAGCCTAATTGGTTGTAATCTGACATTTTGCTACAAGCAAAATATTAAAAGTTTAAAGTCAAAACACATCCCCCACAAAACAGAAGCAAAATGAGGTCGTTTCAAGAGAAAGAGAAACCTGAATCACCCTTCTCTGAAAGTATATTCTAATTTTTTGTTCTAAAAAGTTGGAGGGAGGTGTTTAAGTGAGCAGCCTGCACTCTCCCTGCTCTGAGAGAGCCTGCAGCAAAGCCGTTTAGGAATTCTACAAGCAGCTTTGAAAAGTGCCTTTAAAATTGTAATTCTATACAGCATTACTTCTGAGTGAAGTCAAGCAAATAATACATAGAATCAACCAGGAAGGAAAAAACCTTTATGATCATCAAATCAAATTACCCCAGGACTGCTAAGACCACCACTAACCCAAGTCACTAAGGACCTCATCTATACAGTTTGTGCACACTTCCAGGGACGGTGATTCCACCACATCCCTGGGAAGCCTGTTCCAATGCCTGATCACCCTTACAGTGAAGAATTTTTCTCTAGTATCCAGTCTTCATTCTTCTTCTTCATCATGAGGAAAGCTGTACAAGTCAAAACTGACATACAGCTGTGAATGATTTATGGTACCAGCTCTGATGTAACACACAACACTGAAGGAAAACTGAAGATGACTGAAATGATAGCTAAGCGAGGTTTTAAAGTTCCAGAGCAGGATAGAACAGCTTTAAAAGATTTAAGGTGGAAAGAAGATTTTAAGAGCTGAAATTAATTGTTAAATTTACAATCTGTGTCAGAATTAACAGTAAATATACATCTAGCCTAAGAGTGAGATCTAGCTACATTCTTTTCCTTTGGAAAGCTCTGACATCTAGAGGAGGAAAGCACCACCTATAAATATTAGCTTTTAACTCTTGGACTATTCAACAAATGGCTATTGCTGTATACTAAGACCTAGAGCCTGACCATTTCACAGTAGTGACATCCTGCACTTCCATGGGCATTAACAAAAATGTGCTTCACTTATTGAACCGTAATCTCTCTGTCATTATGTATGATTACGGTTATTAAACATCCATGGGATGTGACTGGAATATGGAGTAAGAATGAAGGCAAGTTGAATGAGTGTCAGGAGTGAAAAAAAACGAAGAGAAAAATCACTTCTTTCAAAAATCTCAACAGAACTATCAGACTCGCAATAAAAAAAAAAAAAAGAAAGAGATTGGCTTACTTGCCTGTAAGGGGTGGGATGGACAATATATTGCATGCTTTCCTACACAGGACAACTGTTCTTTTGGCCACAGGTCCCACATGACAGGGAATAAATCACAGGCCTCTTGCAAATATATTTTACAATCCCTAGAGATACTGTATGCCTAGAATGACTGTGGTTAATCTATCAACAGGAGTTATTTCTGGCTACATCTCACCCTCTGTACTTGCCAGTGTCATCTCCCCTCTCCAATACTCAGCAGAAAATTGTATGTGGTTCAGAGGACATGCTACTTGCTGGTTCAGCACCTCCAATAGATTATACTGTGTGTATCTTCTCAAGCCTATAGATTATGAATTATGTAGGACAAGAACTATGTGCTCTCTCTGCATTTACTTATGAAGCAATAAAAAAAAAGGTGTACAATACAGGAAAAGAATACAGGTTTAAAATAAAACATCACAAATAACTCCATTTCTCAAGCCATGGTCTACACAATATCACAAAGAAATACATGAAGCCATTGTGGTTTACTACTTTTTCTTAACAGACATGGCCACACAAACAAGGAAATGAGCCAAGTGTTTCAACATTCAGTGTTAAATGCGTGTTGAAGCAAACAGATCAAGACATGCTACTCAAGAGTATTCTAGAAAGCATGCAGTGAGCAGCCACGCTCAGCTTTGCACTGAAGCCTTCTCCTCACCTGTTGGTGTCCCTGGCCACATCCTCGTACACGCTCTGCACTCCAATCTCCAGCCGTGTGCAGCCGTAGGATAACATGTCACTTAAGTGCCGCTTCAGGCAGTAATCTGGCCTGGTCTCTATTGTTATCCCAATACATTTTGTCAGGCTTCGTTCTGAATACCTGCAAAAAAACACATCCTCTGTTGAAACGGTGAAGTTGGTAAAGGTAACCTCAAATGTGTTTCCAGCATCTTCCAGGTGAGAGTTTCCATGTCACTATCAGAATTAAAATCCAGGTTAAAACCCTCAAATATCCCAGCAGCCAGGGTGCCCTCAAACTCACAGCAGTGCACGGATGAAACAATACACAAATATGTGCTAGTAAAATCTGGGGTTTGCTTTGTATGAAAAACAACTGGGCTTGCAGGACTTTTTTAAACTGTCTTTGTTAGGAAGACAATCCCAGAACAGACTGAGCCTTTAGTACTCACTGTCTGGAAACAAAGCCTGGGTAGCAGGGAAAGTCAGAGCAGGCAATGAGAACCGTGCTCAGTTTTGGGGACAAACCAAAGGCAGTCTGAGCATTTGCTCCCATTCAGACACCAACGATAATATAGGACCTCATGTTAGGGAGAGGCTGGAATGCTCAGTAGATTTTCATTTCATTCCCATAATGTACAGATAAACTGCAGGGATTGGGATCCAGCTACATTCTCACAAGAAAATGTACATGTCCATGAAAAAATCCACAAACTACTTCCCTTTGTGAGCAAGCAGAATGCCCACAACTTCATTGAAGTCTAATGCTGAAACAAAATTCATTGTTACCCTTTTTCCCCCTCCTCTCCCATTCATCACAGGATGTCAAACAAAGACTAATTGTTCCAGCTAGTAGAAAAATCCACTACTGATGACAAATGGTACGTTACTGACCTACGAGAGAGTAAAACAAAAGAAAAAAGGAATCCAAAGCAGCCTCGCACCAAAGTTCAGGAAAGAAACCATCAATCAACATAATTTCCAACACCACCAGCAAGGACAATATTCCTTTCCGTACAGGAATCATTTCACTTGACTGTCTTTCCTGAAGAATATGGTGGTTGTATAACAGTGAACTGCAGCACCCAGAAATGATTTACAGCTGGAAGAAGGAAAGTTCTTCTTTTGAAACCATTTGAGACTGCAGAGATAATCTGTCTAATTCCCAAACTGGGATGGGGGTAGGATTAACAGCCATTGTTTGAGATTAATATCAGTCTCTTTCAATAGTCCCAAATGATGAAGAACTCTGTACTAAATGTTGCTGAAAAGAGGACACCTTGAGTAAGAGATATTATGCTGATACCTGAAAGAATATCATACACCAAAATCACAAGGATGACTAACTTCAGCTCTTTATTAAGTGTTCTATAAGGATTCATCATCTGATTTCTGGCTCCAGATAGTTGGAAACTTCTGAATCAAAATAAAGCTCCAGAGCCTACCTTAGAGCATGACAGAGGTCCAATCTGACCAAAAAAAAACCCCAACATCCTCCCTCACACCTGCCCCCAAAATGCAAAAAGTCCCCAGTGGGCTCACACTGAATAGCAAAAATATTAACTCCCTTCAAACTGTTAAAGCCTAAGATATATAAAGATCAAGATATCTGGGGGATAGATTGCAATGGGTGTCAAAATAAGCATCTTCAAAAAACCCCAACCCAACAAAACCCACATACAACATTTCAGAGTTTGTGGCTCACTAATCAGGCAGCGAACAGAACAATCGTTTATTGCATCAGGGAAAACACTGCCAACATGTGATTCATTAACATCAGACTGAAAAACACCCACTTTTAAAGACGTGACCAGCAAGAACTGAAGAGAGAAAATTTAGCTAAAGGAGGAGTGGGGGAAGGAGGAAGTCACCAGATAACTCGCCCATCATGCTATAGGGCACATGCTCATTCTGAGCACTTGCAATCAGGCTAGAAATACTGAGGAGACAAAAATCATAGAATCATAGAATAGTTAGGGGTGGAAAGGACCTTAAGATCATCTAGTTCCAGTAATTACATCCCCAAATTCATGGCCAAGATGTAAAAGGCTGAATATAATGAATACCAATAGACCCTAAACTGTAACATCTACTACAGGAATCGACAGATTTCAGTACAGTGTAATGGCTGGTAAAACTGTCTTATCCAACTGTATGCCATAAAGAGAAGAGTGGTTAAAGCAACTGCAAAAGCAAGACCAAGATCAACTCCAAACAAATAAAGTAAAACAAGTAAGGAAGCTGGAGAGTGGTTTTTGACAAGGGCCTGTAAGGACAGGGCAAGGGGGAATGGCTTTAACCTGACAGAGGAGAGATCGAGATGAGCTCTTAGGAAGAAGTTTTCCCCTGTGAGGTTGGTGAGGCCCTGGCACAGGCTGCCCAGAGAAGCTGTGGCTGCCCCATCCCTGGCAGTGTTCAAGGACAGGTTGGACAGGGCTTTGAGCAATCTGGTCTAGGGATTGGAACTAGATAAGGTTTAAGATCCCTTCCAACCCAAACCATTCTGTGATTCTATGATCCTATATATTTAATCCAATACACTGAGTTAAAGCAGGGAGAACCAGTGGAGATATACAGGAGCAGTGAAATATTTTGCTATTTTTTTTTTGTAAGGGGGCATGAAGTATTTGAGACCTCTACACTGGCAGGGCAGTAGTACTGTTGTCTTCTGGTCCAACATAATCCTCTGCCATGGGCACTACCCATCATCCCAAATCACTACCTAGTAAGAGAAGATCATCCAAATAAAGACCAAGGCAAAGAAACAGCCTTTCCCTGTGTGCTTCATCAGCTGTCTACCTCATCCAGCAGGAGACCCACATTTTATCTCCATCTGCTGACAACATATCTATGGAAGTTCTTGTTGCCCTATAATCCCTGGGAATTTCAAATCCAGCTAAGTTAAACTTTCCTGATATGCCCTCTGCTTGCCTGTATTCCTTTTGGGTATCCCAAACCTCCTTTCACCTTCCGCACGCAGTCCTTTTTCCATGTTTGAGCTCCATCAGGATGTCCCCATTACGCTGTTAAGCAAAGCTGGTGACCTGTTGCACTTGCTTGGTGTCCTGCACATCAGGATGCATTGTCTCTGCAATTTGAAGAGGTTGTCCTGGAAGAGCAGCTAAGCTCACCTGAGTTTACTCACCCTTCAAGGCATCCTCCCATGGGATCCTGGAAAGGTTCTGTTGTCCTGAATTCTGAGGTCTTTATTCTGCTACTTGCATCCCTTGGGATCTTGAGCTCTGACATCTCAGAGTCATTGCAGCTAAGACCACACCTCTCCCCAGCTTGCTCTTTGGAGCAGCAGATCCAGGAAAGCGCCTCTCCTAGGCACTGGATGAACCAACTATTTCCAAATACCACCATAATGCACTCCAGAAATCTCCAAAAATTAGTTGTGTTCCACCATGTTGCCATTCTAGCAGGCATCAGGGTGTCAGACTAGGCTCAAGGAGTTTTGCATATTGTTCACTATGTGCATATATTCTAATGCTTCATCACTTTCATACTTTTTCTTAGCACCATTTTCAAGCATATTTTTGTTGCCTTTGATACCAAAAACAGGCAAAGAACTTTGCAGACACACCAGTACTATATCCAGATGGAATATGATTTGCCTATTCCTACCCAATTTTCCACTATTAATATAGTCAAGGGTAATTTGGCTGCTGAATCATACAGTTAGCTCATGATAATGCAACTTAACTCACAAATGTTTTCTAGATATTTCGCTGCTTCTCAGAATAGAATCCTGCACCATTCCAAGAAAAACAGCTTTACGTTTTCCCATAATAAAATACACAGCTTGCTCATATAGAAATTACTATGGAATACAGGTTTATCCCTTATATGCCCACCTCCAATATTGGTGTCTCCTGCCAACCCTTCGAAATCACTACACAAGCATTAAACAGTAGTCCCAGAGGCAAAACCCAACAGAACCCTATTAGAAGCCATTCAGGTCAATGACAATATTTTTCTGCTATGTCTGGTTTGGAAACCAATGAAATGGGTGACACATTGTTCTACTCTCTTTTTTAATGTCAAAATACCTCACTATACCAGGTCAATTTTCTTGCAGAAGTTTATGCATATTTACACTTAATTTCTCAAAAAAAAAAAACAAAACAACCCAACAAAAAAACAACCAACCCTGCAAGCTCACTAACAGGATACAATGATGTATCATGACAACGGACAGGATGGATTTGCCTTCACTTAATCTTCAAAAACAACAGATATCTAGGCACATATCCTGCAACAATGGCATGCTAGCCAAGGCAGATATGAAGAGGGAACAGTTTCCATCCAATTAGGCAGAAAGCCTGAAAAGCAGATACCTAGAGCTCTGAAGAAAGTGATTTTAGGATACTCAGACACAAGAGTGTCTGACACAAGATGACCTTGGTTATGACCAAGACAAGCAGAACTATTACCAAAAAAAGCAAAAGAGAGCAAGCTCTGAGGAATTAGATGAACCCAAGCTGGAAACTACATCCATGATGGCCTTATATATTCAAGTTCACCCGATTTCCAAGTTCATTTTTGCATTAATATTTATGAAGGGCATTTCTTATGGAACCAGAAAGAGAAAATGGATTTTATCTTCTTAGGCAGCAACAAGTATCTTACAGTGTTTCTCCTCCTTCCCTGGAACAGTCTTACTTGTTAGTTGCAATACAACAGTGCTGAGGAACCCCATATAATCAAAAGAACAATCAGAAATCAAGCCAAGTGTACAGCACAAGATGGCAGTGGGGCAATTTTAATAACAGACTGACCACGGAGAAGAATTATGCAAATAAAGTTGTGGTTAAGCCATACAAATGAAAGAAATTAGGTACAGAGAAACCTTAAGATTTGCTCAGATATTACTATTCTAAGTCAGCTCTTTTCAGCATGATTACAAATTGCCTGAAATAGGAAGTCAGAAAGGAGAGTCTATTAATTTTAATAATTACAGAATTTTTGACTGAATTTTCAGAGAAAGCTGGTACATTAAATAGACCTTCTTAGAATCTACCTCTTATTTAAGTTCTGGGGGTTTAGATCAAAAAACCACCTACCTCTCCACCAGACACAGCAGTTTAACGTAGAGTTTCAAATGCTTTCTCACTTAAAGAAAAAACAGACACCACAGTT